CGCTGATTATTGGGCCTGGCACAGGATGATGGATCAATGCTTCGAGAAGCGAACCAATTTACTAAGAAAGAAAGTTGCAACAATTTTCATTTTTTTCAATTAAAATTTTTTACCTTTTTCGTATTTCGCATGGCACGCTTTGATGTAGAAGACAAAAATCAGAACAGTTTTGCNGTACCCGTTAGAGATGAGTTGGGGACTAATTGATCTCCAATTATACCGATAAGGGATGAGTCGAGACTTATTGACCTACATTAGTACCCGCATGGGACTAGTTGCGACTAATTAATGCCCAATTGTACCCGATTGAGAGTAATCTCGGAATACTCTCTTTAGAGATTAGTCGCACAATTTTTTCCAGGGTTGCATTATTTCGGTTTTGGACCGAAACTGTGCATGTATGCATTACTGCGTTTTTCTCATATGCGTTATTTCGGTTTTCAACCGAAATTGTGCAGATACGCATTATTTAGATTTTTTTCATATGCATTATTTCGCTTTTCAAACGAAAGAGTGCATATGCATAATTTCGGTTTTTCTAATATGTAGTCTGTTCCAATAGCAGTCCGGTTTACAGGATTAACACAAACGGCAATAACGCAAAATTTGTTTTATTTCACTTTTAAATGGGAAATAATACCAAAATCTGAGTTTTGCTTTATTTCCAACAAAGGTTGGAAATAAAACAAATTTTGCCTTATTTCCCATTGCTTCTTTATACTATTTGTAAAAAAAAAACAGTTTACTGACAGAAGGAGAGAGAACTGTGCATGATACAAAAAAGAAGGTAGTTTCATTTAATGATATTCGTTGTTGTTGCTAACCATTTGACTTTTAATAAAATTATGGCATTTCATCAAATTCATGCTACCTGATTACTGGAAGAAATATATTTTTTTAAGCAGAGATTTTATCAGTACATTCAAAGATGTGGAATATGATGAACTAGAAAATTATGCCGGCTAAATGATTTCGCAAATGGGGTTGACGACTAGGTTTCAGAACGCATGAAGAATGTGTAACTGCAAAACCGCGTAACTGACATTTTTCTCCAAAAATTGGATTTGCTCACACAAGCTCTTGGCTCAACCCTTATCCATTCGTCCTGAAATGAGATTTCTTTGTAAAAAAGAGAACCATTTTGAAATGTGAGTGTTTTACTCTCTTCTAAATAATTTATGCAACCTCACATACGCAGTTGTGCATTTTGTTGATACACGGTTTTGTACTTTAAACGACGATCTGTTAGCTGTTTATCGGAGGGCGGTCTGTTCAAGCCTTCTTCAGGTGTTTTGCATAAATTAATTTGTGAAATTTAATGATGCTAAAAGCCTAATTTTTTGCAAAATCTGATGAGAAATTTAAAAGCAAATTTGAACCTAAATATAACAAGGTTTCATTTGGGAAGAACATTCTTTAGAATTTGATTTTTAAATCGCAAGATGGCATTAAAAAAAACAGAAAAATGCGCCCGTGGTTTTTATTACAAAATGAAGAGAACCATTACGATGAAGTCTCCTTTAACAGTACCAAGTACTGATAATGGTTTTTGATTTAAAATGTTATTACATTGGTATAAATATGGGAAAGAAAATACTCCGATTTATTGTTTTAATATTATCAAAGTGGCAAGGCCGTTGATAATACTCACAAATTATGAAACTTCAAAAAATTTTATTATCCGTAAAAGTTGTTTATTGAAACTACCTTCTTTTTTGTATCATGGAACTGTGTTTATTCCAAAAATACAATTAAACCAAGGCACATTGAACAGGTAATATCAGTATAGCAGCTGATTTGATTTTTTTTTCAAATTATTTGTTCTCGAAAATGTCAAATATTTTACATTTCTTCTGACAAAAATTCTAAATTGTTAAAATCTATTTGCATGTGAAACATTTTCCATACAAAACCAGCGATTAAATATCAGCTTTTGGAAAGCTCGCCCAACTCAGCAGCACAACCGCTGATTATTGGGCCTGGCACAGGATGATGGATCAATGCTTCGAGAAGCGAACCAATTTACTAAGAAAGAAAGTTGCAACAATTTTCATTTTTTTCAATTAAAATTTTTTACCTTTTTCGTATTTCGCATGGCACGCTTTGATGTAGAAGACAAAAATCAGAACAGTTTTGCGCACCTTCGATACCAGAAGCAACAACAAAATACAGTCAAATGTTGTTTTTGCTCAAATGCTCTAAACCTGTTTGATAGGCCTTGAATTAAATAAAAAAATAGGTAAAAAAACTTTTTAAGTTAAACGGTTTTATGTTAAACATACATTGCAATGTTTAAGATAAATGTACTAAAAACCAAAAAATAATAAAATAGATACAGTCGTGGGAATTATAAACATATGCATAGACTAGACTAAAATAGAAACCGGGGGGCACGTCAATTGTCTACAAATTATCGACTTAATGTGCGATAGAAGAATCGTTTAATTCGTCGTTAGGCAGTTGGCCCGCAGACGGTGAGGAAATTACTTACTATTTTCTTGCTCATGGAAATTCCAATAGTTATACACTCCATGTAAATAAAAGAGATGTTTCAACTAGTTTATCGTTGGACATTCACACTGCTGGCTGGCAAGGAATCGTTTCACTGCTCGTAGTTTGTCTTTAATCGACAAAACATATGATAAAAGTACTACTCGCTCACCACTATGAAACCCTAAAACTCGCTTATAATCGAGCTTGCTAGCTTGTTTCCACATTCTAGCCCTACTTATCACACGTCTATCGTTGTCGGTTGAACAACTGCCTAATTATAGTGTAACATTACAAAACAAACATTTTAATCAACGATTGTAGACAATTGACGTGCCCCACGGTTTTATTTTAGTCTAGTCTATGCATATGTTTATAATTCCCACGACTGTATCTATTTTATTATTTTTTGGTTTTTAGTACATTTATCTTAAACATTGCAATGTATGTTTAACATAAAACCGTTTAACTTAAAAAGTTTTTTTACCTATTTTTATTATTTTTTGGTTTTTAGTACATTTATCTTAAACATTGCAATGTATGTTTAACATAAAACCGTTTAACTTAAAAAGTTTTTTTACCTATTTTTATTTATATTTTTTTTTACCATTTTGTTCCCACGAGTAATGGACATTTAAACGGGGCAAGGCTATGTACAACAAGATGCGCCTGAGTCTTGAGGGGAAAACGCTAACGACATATCATTTTTATCCACCCTAATGCCATACAGTTCTCGGCGCGTTTTAACCTTTCACCTTAACTTGGGTGGTGTACCGCTAACGACGTATCATTTTTAGCCACCCTAACGCCACACAGTCCTCAACACGATACAAAATCTTGACTTGGGTGGTGGATTCAGGCTGGATTAATCGATACCTAAATTACAGATTCAATTTCTAAATTTAAATCTTATTATTATACGCCATTTAGTGGCTGCGCCCATCTTAAATATTGAGGTTGTATAGTGCACTGTATTCTTCTTGTCAAGCCCTTTTATTTGATACCCATATTGGTGGGATTGATAAAAAATTGTTATCAGCCATTTGGTAGCGGCGGCCATCTTAGATTTCAATTTTGCATAGTAAATTGTATTCTACTTGTTGAGACCTTTCATTTGATACCCATGTTGATGGGATTGATAAAACCTACGTTATCCGCCATTTTGTAGCGGCCGCCATCTTGGATTTCAATTTTTTATAGTATATTGTATTCTGCTTGTTGAGCCCTTTCATTTGATACCCATATGGATGGGATTAATAAAAAAAAACATAAATTATCCGCCATTTTGTAGTGGCGGCCATCTTGAATTTATAATGATAATGAATAAACATAATTGTATTGTCACCAAAATCCAAAGTGTGTACAAAATTTCAGATTAACCGGTTGACAGGAAGAGGGTGAAATTTGAATTACTAAATTTGACCCAAGAATAAAACAAACGGAGTGAGCTAAATAAAACCGTTTAAAAAATGTGATATAATTCATATGAAGAAAGTAATATTCACAAAATATTTTTACTTATGAAAAGTCTAACAAAATATAGGAAAAGCATCGTCTTTAAAAACTGCTCCGCATATTAGACATAGCGCTTTTGTATGAAGTTTTACTGCATGCTTTTTATTATGTTAAAAACATTTCTGGAAAACCTTAAAATGTTTGCATGGAACCATGTCGCAATAAACAGATGAAGTAATAAAACGGCTTTCTCGCTTTATTTTCTGACATTCGGCTGCCTTATAGTCACATTTTATAGGCAAATTTTCTAATAAAGCAGTGGCACCTGGTAAATTCCACTATGGGTGGGATGCATGCAATAACACCATACACAATAATTCCCATTACTTGGACATTAATAAAAAGCAGTTTCAGAAGTGAACTAGTGTTATTTTATCATTTTTCCTTTTTCTAAACGGTTATAATGCCACCAGTACATATGTAATTGCAAAAGGAGGGGTGGGGCGGGGGACGCGAGCGCGGCGTCGAACGCGGACCGCCGCGAGGCCGGGCACTTTCAAAATTATATGCTTACAAATACGTCCATTTAACTTGTTCATGTACTACTTTTTGTCAAATGTAACTGGGTGACTACCTACATATTTGCACTATTTTGCTTTATTACTCAAATTGTTAAGATTTAAAGTTGGTCTTATTGCTCAACGAGAAATGAAATAAAGCAAATTTTTGTTATTTCACATTCAATTGGGAAATAACACAAATTTGCGTTATTGCCGTTTGATATCGGCGTAGCCAGAATTAAATTTAGGGGGGGCTCGACCCTATTAAGCTGGCATTTCAGGGTACTATTTTATATATATATAAGGAAAATTTGAAAGTTAGGGGGGGGCTCGAGCACCCCCCTGCCCCTACCTGGCTACGCCCATGGCAGCAGAGCATTTAACGAGGGCTCCACATAGTCGTTTATGATATTGAATGTATCTCGAAGCGCTTCAGTTCTGTTAATGAATGCCAATGCACTAACACCAAAGTATGAATTTCCAATTTAATTTCAGGTGGATAACATTCAATCTAACTTTGAATACCAAATGAGGGAACCAAATGTGAAAAGCAGATTTAAGCAAACGACACACACTGTTCTTAAGGTTGCAGCTCATCTAATTGTCGCGGGATACTTCGCCTATGCCACGTATCACTATATCGATGTCGGTGGGTTTGTCTGCAGTCTAAAACTATTCATGTACATATGTATGTACTTATAAATAAATGTATAATGCTCGTTTATTTTTTACACAGCAAATAACGACTGTAATTCTAATAACCCAAATAAGCTGTGTGGAATTCAATTATGCAATGGATATGGGTTATTGGTGCTGCTACTGGGATTTGTTTACTTTGGTTTCTTTTACTTCAAAATCTTGAAGCCAACTATAGGTGCACCTCTAAAAAGACAGTATATCTACCCATTTGGAAAATGGTGGAAGCATTTCAGTCGAAAAAGGTAAAACGAATATAAATAAGTAGCACCATCCTAAAAGAGATAAACATTACCTCATCTGCTAAAATTTTATCTGTTAAATAAAAGTTTCCGTAATAATTATTAATTTACATTTCTTAATTTTCTTCCATGCTAGACTTGTCTCCACCATCATGCTCGCAATCCTTCTTATTCTGCTGATGGTATTTTTGTACTTTGATACCAAGGACGATAGAAACAAATTGAAATCGCTGTTGGCCCCATGCGTTCTCATACTGACTGGTTATATATTTTCTTATGACCGCAAAGCAATCAAGTGGCGAACTGTCGTATCTGGAATAGCGTGGCAGTTTATTTTAGGCGTGCTGTGCATTCGTTGGGAAGTGGGCCGCAAAATCTTTCAATGCATCGGCGATAAAGTTGCAAGCTTTTTATCGTTTTCTGATGAAGGAAGTCGTTTCGTTTATGGTGATACGCTCATCAATGACTCCATTTTCGCTTTTGCTATTTTGCCCGTTATATTTTTCTTCAGTTTTTTTGTTTCAATTTTACAATATTTGGGTGCTATGCAATGGGTAGTTATGAGACTTGGATGGTTATTGCAACAAGTTTTGGGAACCACGGTTTGTGAAAGTGTTACATCAGCAGCTAATATATTTTTGGGCATGTCCGAAAGCCCGTTGCTAATTAAACCATACCTGAAAAAGCTTACAGCCAGTGAATTACATTCCATTATGGCTTCTGGATTTGCGACGGTTTCTGGAACGGTATTAGCAGCATATTTGTCGTTTGGAGCTTCAGCAGCTCACTTAATTACTTCAAGCGTTATGGCAGCACCTGCAGCATTGGCATTTTCCAAACTATACATGCCCGAAACTGAAGAGAGTCAAACCACGTCAAAAAATATTCAATTAGAGAAATCGTAAGTCCACTATAACAACCACAAGTACATATAAAGTATGTTTTTTTACATGCACAACTCATAAGCTATTCTTGAATCGCCATAAAAACCACGGCAAGCACCTCACAAATCCAAACCTAAAATCAAAAAATCCTTAATCCATTTCACTTCTAGTCATTATGTTTGCACACTGATCCCTTTATAAATGAAGATATACAGTTATAAAACAAATTTTTACCCTCATCCTGGTGCAATGATTTCCATTTTGTAACCACACGCACTCAATATCGACTTTTGCGTCCTCGTTCGCGCACTCTGGGCAACGTAAGCAACCCATGTGCGAGATGCGGTAACGAATCTGAGTGAAGCCTTGGGTCACGGCAGAAAGAGAGGGAGCTTTGGTTTAAAGGCTGACTGAAGTGTACAGCGTATGTTCACCAGTAGGTGTGGCTGCAAGCGTGTGTTTGTCTTGGGTCACTGGGTTTGGGCCCCGCCTCACCAAAACCACTTCCAGTGAAGAATTTCAACAAATCCTCAGATGAGACACACCTTTTGATGTCGGCCATGGTACACGTTTCAAATGGACTTCGATATAAGGGCTGCACCTGGTTGATGTCCTCGTAAAGACAAAAGCCAACATCACCGCTATCCAAGAAATGCAATGCACCGCTTTGTGACGTCTATTATAGCTGTCACTTAAAGGAACGGAAATTCGGTGTTCAATTTACGATGGACGAGCGTCAAGCCATAGTCCGCATCATAGCAAATAGCTCACTCATGTGCGCCCGCTCTCCGACGTAAGAGGACGAAGCGTCCAAAGATAGCTTCTATGAGAGTCACGATATCAAAATCGTCCTCGACGATTTCAATTCCAAGGTAGGCAGGGAAAGGATATTTGGCCCCACTGTCGGAAAATTCAGCCTCCACGACGAGACGTCCGATAACGGAGTGAGGCTCATCGGGTTCGCCGGGGCCCAAAACATGGTACAATATCTTGCATAAAAAAATCCATCAAGCTACTTGGCTGCCTCCAGATCTAAAAACGAGAAACGAAATCGATCATAATGTGATAAGGCGCGCTTCCAGTCTTTTAGACGTACGTACACTCCGAGGGCCAAACATCGACTCGGACCGCTTTCTTATTGCAGCAAGATATGCAACCGCAAATGTGCACCCAACAATGCAAAGAAAGTTGCCATCACAACAGACGGTCAGTGCATTCACCACTCGAGTCTCACACCAACTCTCAGAGAGCACCCTTCAAAAACCGGCAGAAAATTTTATCAGAGACCTACGGAAGGTTTCAAGACCAGGACGAACTCCTGTAAAAACAACCAGAGCGAACTAGTGACCGATGTCCAGAACGGCGAACCCGAGCAGTCTATGATGACGGAGTCGATGTTCTACCCCACTATGACGAGGTACGAATAGCAATTACGAGGATGAAAAACAACAAGTACCGAAGTGAAAAGTGGATAAGTGCATGGATCAACTCTAGGCAGAATATGGTTAAATGAACGCGTGCCCGACCACCGCAATTTACGTGTGCTCCGCCCAATGCACAAGAAAGGCTACCCGGTCAAAGCCAACAGCTACCGCGGTTTCAGCCTTCTTCTTATGTTAGAAGTTCCTATCGAGCGTATTGTGTGAAGCTGTAGCCCATCGTCAACGAACTGACTGGACCATATCAGTGGGGCTTTAGACCTTGGAAATCCTCCATAGACCAGTTATTCACATTACGCCAAATATTGTAAAAGACTCGCAAGAATATCCCCCGAAACTACAACGGCATATAAATCATTTACCACTTTGCTTGTTTAATGTAATTCATATTTTGTTGATGTGCTAAAAAATATACAATTTAGAATCATCAAATCAATCTTTGTCAATGCTATTCGCACATGGAACTCTATTCCACTGTCCATTCGCAATACTCTAAATAAAAGCAGCTTTAGGCTTGTCCTATATTCGTACCATGAACCGAAAATAACAGTTATTTTTTTTTTTAAGTCAACTTTGCCAAATATTCTGTAAGCTTGTAACAAAAGTCATTTCCTGATAACAAACAAATTAAACAAATTTGGTATCAAAAGAAAAATGACTAAACAGCTTTTAAACAGAAATAACGAACAATTTATTTATGTTTTTTTCATAATTTAATACTAAAGAAATTTATATTTTTCATATTTCACATTTCTAATTGAAATATTTTCCAATAGGAGGCTTTCCTCGTTTAGGAATTTCAGTTTTAAACCTATTTAGTTCTCTTTCATTTGATACCAAACTTGTTTAATTTGGATAAGCGGTTTATTTATTATCGGGAAATGACTTTTATTTCTACTTAAAAATATTTGGCCAAGCTGACTTAAAAAATAAAAAAATTACTGTGGTTTTTGGTCCCTGATTCGTACTTTCGTTAAAACGAATATACATACATATGTATATCGTGGGCTTATACCATGTTCTGACCGACAACGAAAACACCTTGGGGTTGTGGGCTGAAGGCTGTTCACACCGACTGTTGGTGTTTTCGTTGACATTTCTTTCATCCTTTGTTTACAGTTTTGCTACACAAAAGTAAAACCAAAAAACTTTTCCTTCAATTTCTTTTCATTAACAACCTTTTACTTCCATGCTTACTTTATTTTGGCCACCTAATTAACAATAAATCCGAAATAACGTATTAAAGATGATAAAATGACTTCCACTTCGATAAATAATCGAAAAACACTAGTGCAGACACCGATTGGAATGAGTGGAACGTGAGTTTTCAAGTGGTTTTCAGCGAAAACTAGTTTTCGTTTGACAGATTTTACATGGACGAAAACACAAGTTTTAGGTCGAAAACCAGTTTTATCAACGAAGCATGTTTTCGATGTCGGTCAGAACATGGTATTACGTTCAAACCTGCCATCTCAAATTTTTGCAATTTTCAGAAAAACTACGTTTCTGATGGTGAAACCCATTACTGATGTTAACTCTAACTTTGGAATTCAATAGTAAATTGTACCAACAAGTTATTTATAAGGTTAGCATTAACAGCACTTAATTCTTAGGTGGGTTTTCATACAAGAAGCTGAATCTTGTGGAAATTCCAGATAAAGGGTATTAAATATAAGCCCTCGATATGTATGTATCTTGCATAATTATGAGTTTCGCTATCTATATATATTTTTTAGTCAATATGGATAGCCACTGTATTTTTTATTAAGTGTCTGTTTTTTATAAATCTTGTCTTTAAGAATCACTATTTATTTATATGTTTTACTGTTTTTTCCTGTTATTTGTTGTACTTAGGGTTGCACACGCTACATCGTTTATATCTGAAAAATCGATACATCGTTCATAAAATGCGAAGCCAATATCGATGTTTGAAAAACCACAAATATCGCTACATCGATGTTATTTCTTTCCATGTTCATCGTTCATAACTGGTAAAACAACAAACAAGCGCCATTTGAAAACAAGCTGTTGAAGGGAAGTTTATTTTGTTAATATATACTAGGTATGTCAAAGTTCGCGTGGAAAACAAACAATTAAGTTGCATAGTTTAAAATCCTCACTGCGTTTGCAATTGTTATCTGAAAAAAATTTCTAACAAATGCGGTCTTCTTATTTGGCGCTGCAACTGCCTCAGCGATTTTGGCCGAGCTCAACAAAGCGCGCCAGTCAACAAAGCCAGGTCCTTCCTTCCCCACTTGGTCTTCCCAAAGCAGGGGGGCCTTCCCATTCCTCTGATACCACCAGCGGATTCCGAGTTGAATACTTTCAGGGCTGGAGCGTCGGAGTCCATTCGAACGACATGGCCGAGCCATCGGGGCCACTGTATTTTAATTCGCTGCACCATGTCGCCTGATCGGATGTTGTCATTGTCCATGCTTCTGCGCCATATACCAACACGGGCATGATGAGTGACTTATAAGAGTATGGTTTTCGTACGTGAAAAGAGGACTTTGCTCCTGAATTGCCTCCTCAGTCTAAAGTTACACTTGTTGGCAAGAGTGATTCTGCGTTGGATTTCCATGCTGAAATTAATATCGGTGTTGATGCTGGTTCCCAAGTAAACGAAATTCTCTACTTTCTCAAAATTATAACTGTCAACAGTGACGTGGGTGTCAAGGCGCGAATATGCTGACTGTTTGTTTGATGAAAGGAGATACTTCGTTTTGTCCTCGTTTACCACCAGACCCATTCGCTTTACTTCCATATCCAACTTGGAAAAGGTATAACAGACTTCGCGAATCTTGTTACCGATGATGTCGATGTCATCGGCCTACGCCAGCAACACTTTTGGAATATTCTCCAACATCAGATTAAAGAAATCACGTGAAAGGGAGTCGCCCTGTCTGAAACTCCGTTTGGTACCGAACGGCTCAGAGAGGTCTTTCCCAATTCTAACGGAGCTGGTGGTATTGCTCAACGTCATTTTACACAGCCGTATCAGGTTCAAAGGTATGCCAAATTCAGACATCGCGGCGTATAGGCAACTCCTTTCAGTGCTATCGAAAGCGGATTTATAGTCGACAAATAGGTGGTGAGTGTTAATCCTTTTCTCACGGGTATTATCCGGGTATAACACATGGTCTATGGTGGATTTGCCAGGTCTAAAGCCAAACTGATAAGGCCCATTCAGTTCATTGACGGTGGGCCTCAAATTTCATGCAATACGCTCGATAAGACCTTGTAACCTATGCTTAGAAGGCTGATCCCGAGCGAATGGCGGGTCGCCTTTCTTGTGGATTGGGCAGAGCACACTTAAATTCCAACCAACAATTGCAGTGCTCCTTTGGAAATAGCACAGCACCGGTACATCACAGTTTTTAAACTACATATATATACAGTCAGTCAATAAAGTTTAGGTACAGCGAATTTTTTACAATACGGGCAAGTATTTTTTAAATATTTTAGTTTAGTTAGTAATTTTTAATAAAAATATGGTTAAGTCTACAACAAACCCCCAAAAATCAGAGTTCCAAACCTTGTGTAAAATTAAAGAAAATTCTGCAAAATTTCATTCAAAT